TTGGAAAAAAATCTGTTGGAGAGATTAGTCTATCATTTTTGGAAACCTGCTGCAATGGTTCATGTAAAACTCCCCTCAAAACATCTGCAGTATTTTCCCTGAACATGACGGGCACAGGGCAGGGATGATGCTTCAGCCTGCACTCCAAATTTGTAGTTGTACAGTGTTTGAACAGATGTTTTTCTTTTTATTGAAAGAGAATTTTTTAATAATGGAACTGAGCTTTATTCTCTAACCAGCTATTGATTGGATTTTCTGTCACCAGACAGGCACAGAGAAACACATAGAAAAACTTGGTTCGTGCCCTGCTAAGCAGCTCACACGTCTGCCTGTGCACGTGCCTGTCTGCCTGTACACGGATACACACCCAGGCACCCACACAGCCAAGCACATTCCCCCTGGGACACACCAGCTACATGTGGCTGCAGTTACATGTGACATGAGATCTCTTAATTTAAGACTGCTTCCCCTGGTCTAAGCCATGATGAGGTGGGATATTTTGAATACTGCTTTGGCTCCTTTGTATTTTGCTCAGGGACTTTTCTGCAGATGTGCAGAGGAGCGTGGTGTTTTACATACACCGTATCATATGGCCAGTCATGTCTAGGCTCTGGGAGAGGGGTAACAAAAGGGTGCAATTTATGCCTTGATTGTGGCTTTTGTCAGGTTCATCTAGTCTTTTCCATTTTCCATCTGGGGTCATGTCCAATTTACCTTATCAATTTACCTTATTTTCTTCTTTGCAAGTTTAAAAATAGCGGAGAGAAAAAGAAAATTACTCTTAGTGATGCACTGGAGTCAACATCACCTGTGAGCTACTGCCATGTACAGGTTCTGAGGAAATGCTGAGCCTGTTTAATGCACGAGAACAAAATCTTCCTTTACCATCAGCAATGCAGATGTTTTATTTACATGGTGACAGTCCCTGTGCGTGTTTCACACTCATGCTATGTGCAAAACTCTCCGTGCAGAATGAATGCAGAATATATAATTGAGATCTGCAGTGCAGGTGAGTGATTTCCCAGTGCTGACCCAAGAGGAAAATCGAGCCTCACACATCGTGTCAGGGATGTCCGAGCAACACAGTGCTGCATGTGTGTGCCTGCTCTCCCCAGCCAGATGGGATATTTGCCTCTAAGATTGCACTGCAGTTCTTGTGGTTTGCTTTCTCTTTACTGCTGATTGTGGCTGTGCCCTTTGTGGCAGTCAGGGGCTCACAGGTGTGTTTTCTCTTTGAAAATGTGATGTGGTCGATTGGATGTAGAATTCCAGAGATCAGCTCCACTCCCTTGCCTCTTGCTGTGTGGGCTGAGCAAAAAACTCTCTGCACCACCTTAAGATTCTATCTATCTATCTGTCTATCTATCTATCTATCTATCTATCTATCATCTATCTATCTAATCTGTCTCTCTAGCTTTCTTTTTATCTTTGTTCATTATGTGTTTGTCCGCCACCTGTAGCAGTTAAGTTGAAGAGCCTCCATCTTCATTTTCAGCTTTAAATAGACCCTTTGTGGAATAAAAAATACACCTAGGATCCCACAGAGAGGAGCTGAAGAGATGAAATGGGAATATGTTCCTAGCAAATACAAGCTGAGTGTTTTTGAACACAACTGTTTTTTTTTTTTTTATAGCTATGAAGAGGTATCATGTAACTAACGCCTCCTTTTCTCCTAGCCTTTTCTTGAGGCCACTGGATATGATTCCATCTTCATGATTTTCCACTTGATCTGATTCTGTAGGACTGTCCTGATTAGTAACAAAGAAGTAAACCTTAAAGTGGCAGTAAAGGGGAGGAGGAATCACCTGATTTGACTTTGCTTGTAGGGACAGACTTAAGTCTCCTGGTCTAGCAACTGCACAATATTTGTCTCTTAGTGCTGGGCTTGGGAGTGCTGGTGGTAATCCCTGATCATCTGCCAGAGTGTCTCTTGGTCCACTCTTCTTCTCCCTTACCAATCCATTCTTTTGTGATACCAGGTTAGCAATTTTTAGATTTCCTCAAATTTACATCTGTCCTGGACAACATCAAATCATAGAATCATAGAATGGTTTGGGTTGGAACAGATGCCCCTGCCATGGTCAGGGACACTTCAAACACTCATCCAACCTGGTCTTGAGCACAGTTCTCTGGGCAACTTGTTCCAGTCTCTCACCACCCTCACAGTAAAGAATTTCTTTCTTAAACCTAATCTACACCTATCTCTGTCAGTTTAATTCCATTGTCCCTTGTCCTATAATCACATATCCTGTAAAAAGTCCCCTACCAGCTCCCTTGTCAGCCCCCTTCAGGTGCTGGAAGGCTGCTATAAGGTTTCCAGGATGAGGACAAAAAAACCCCAAACTTCTTAGTGACAGTTTCAGTTTCATCCATTCACTGGCATCTGCTTCATACAGTTCTTCTGGTAAAATTTGGGTCCCTTGTTAAAACTGCTTGCTGTTTTGCCCCCAGTAGCACTGTTGGGAGGCTCCTACAGGATCCCTTTGACCAGATGGTGAGAAATCTCCTATTCGAGACCTTTATTCCCTTTCCACACTAGAGATGTGCCGAGTAAGATCTGGGAGGGCCTTCTTTGGTGAGAGCTTTTTGCATCTTCTTGCTCACCTTAGGGCTGTGCAAAATGCATTAAATTCATTGCCAATGCTTGTATAGGACACACCAGGGTTAGAGAGGAGGCTGTTACTCTCAGGGTAGTGTTGTGTGCCACAGCCCATGGACCTCCACATTAAAGCCCCTTGCAGTGGAGTCAGATGATGCATTTTCTGGACTTCATGTAGTTTCTCTGTGTGATTATCTCCTTCAAAACCCATATCATGATATATAGAGGGCCAAGTGACTGCAAGACCTGCGCCCTTAGTCATGAACTAAACCACAGATACGTCTCAGTGTAACTTGAGATTTAGCTGCCCTGTGGTTCTACTTTAAATTCCCATTTCAAGCTGATGAATTTCCAAGCAAGGACAAGTGCTCAGGCAGCTCAACACAGCCTAGCAATTTTTATTGTATTAGGAATATAAGATACAATTGTTAAGTCATTGGAGGGAATCTGTACTATTCTTTCCTTACTCCATGAAAAAAGCAAACATTATTCATATCTGTTACAGTGGCAGTAGAGTGGTGCCTACACACATAGAATCTGTGTCCAACATCAGTTTCCACATGCACAGCACACTGTCTTGCCAGAAATGAAGTGTAGGTAGGAGCTGAATAGCAGTTATCATACTTGCTGGTATAGTACTTTCAGAGAGATCAAAGAGTTACAAAAGTCAAATAGAGCTCCAAAATAAAAAAAAAAAAAGTAATTCCTTGTCCCACAAGCCACAGAGATGGCTTCTATTTAAAACTGGTCCTCACAAAACAGCACAAATTTTATCCTCGATGCTTGAAGCTCAAGTATTTACACAGGGAATTTAGACTCTTCACTTGTGGTTTTGGCAAAAGCTTCACACAAATGTTTTGCACTGGTGGTCTCTTAGCCATTTAAGATAAACGTCAAAATCAAATGCAGTCCTTGCAGACTGGAGCGCTGGATGCTGTGCCAAGGATGAAGTATCCCCATTTGCCTCACATGTGTAGCTGTCAGATCAACATGCAGGCCTGGTTTCTGAATAGGGACTCTCAAGGTAGAGAGACTCCCTTGGAAAATGTTGCATGTTTAGGGTCAGAAGGAGCATGGATAAATATTATTCCTTGCTGCCACAGTGTAGGTTCCTTCAGGAAATATTTTTTCTAGTGTTGGAGGGAACACAGATAAATATTTCTGCTTGCTGACATGGTATTTGCATCTATCTGCAAGGTGCACACTCATGCACAGCCAGAGATGCCACCATTTAGAACAAAAGCATTTTCCAGAAGGTACCCCACAATTAGCACACATATTTCCTGATCTAAATACAGGGGGAAACTGTGGTTCCTGATCTACCACTGTGCGGTAACTGTTGGCAAATGCCAACTTTTTAATGGCGACTTAATCCACCGCATTTGTTCATGTAGAAACTGGCCTTGATTAGTAGCTACCCTTTAAGTTAATAACTAAGTGGCAGGAATAGTTTGAAATGGAGGGGTTGGGATTCCCAATGGATGGAAAGTGGTGCCATTCACTCAGCTTCCCTTAAAAGTCTGCTAATTTGTGCCAGCCAAAAACATGACTCCTACATGATTCTGTGTGTGTGTGTCTGTATTTGTGCAGGTGTATGTCGATATTTAAGACTTGTATCTTAGTTTCTCAAAGCCGCAGAGTTCAGTTTGGACTATTGCCAGGAGGAGCAAGCATTTCCAGTGGAGCAGGAGAAAACTCTTAAATACAGCTTTTAAATGGCAGGTGATTCCTAGAGGGGTTAAAAATAAATAATAAGGTTGTAGGTTACAATATCATCTTTTAGCTACCAGGAAAAAGGTTGCTCCCTTCCTCGCAGGCTCAGTAGGGAATCAGCCTGCATAATCGGGGCATGCAAAATGCACAACTGGCCGCAGCTCAAGCGGGAAGGCAGCACATGGCCGCCAAGGCTTCCTTCTGGGAGCTCGGCTCCTGGCACCTCACTGAAGCCATTTGAGCTCTAAGTCACTGCACTTTGTCCGGGCTGGTGTGTGGAGCCCACTTCAGCAGTGGCTCGGCAGAAAGCCTGCCCAGTTTTGTGTCGGCTCAGTGCATTAACACAGCCATAAAACAATTATCCCCCTTTTGATTTGGTCCCTGAGCAAGCGCTGGTGGCGACGTCCGCCGCCTCTGGCTCTGCTCTGTGCCAGGGCTGGCCATCCCCCACCTTCACCCCGCTCCATGCCCACACGGGCCCTCAGCCTGGGTTCGCAGGTCCTCCAGGAATCTTCTTATTCTTCCCCCACCCAGCGTGAGCCCGCCGGCCTCAGCCGGACCCAGAGAGGGGTTCAGACCAAGCGTGTTGAGCGTTAGGCAGCCAGCCCCCACTTCGCTTGTTTGATGCCTCCTCTGTCCCTTCAAACTTAGATCCGACTGACAGTTTTTTCTATTGTTTTTTCTCCAGGGCCGTCCAGGCCTGCAAACCTGCCGGGGGCTCCCATAGCTGCCTCCTCCCACCCTCACACATCCGTGATCACGTCACCTCTCCGCGCACTGGCCTCCCTCCCGCCCTGCCTTAGCCTGCCCTGCTGTGGTGCACGTGCAGTCTCAGTTGGCGGGACTCAGACTGAGATTCAGACTGAGACGTCAGGCACATTTGGATGTCATTGTCAGTTGTCAGGTAATAGAAATACTTTTTTTTTTTGTTGCTATCTGAAGGTCAGTAGTGCTGCCAAGTGATGTCGTCTTTGCTGTGGGAGAGCTGCCTTTGCTGGGTCGCGTGGGGAAGGCAGAGAAAATGCCCTAACCTGCCCTCCCCACCACTTCCCTTCCTCCTTCCCTCTCCACCCTGGAAGAGGATGGGGAGTGGGAAAGGGCATGCGACTCCCTCCATTTCCTCATCCCTCCCCTCCTGCCTGCCCACCCTCAGTTGTCAGCTCCTGCGGCCACTGCTGGGCCGTTTGTGCCATGTTGTGAACAAATGTCTGAGACTCCTTGCAGAATGTGATACCCCAGTATCAAGATTTCATCTCTCTAGGCTGTTTATTTTAAGCTTAATTGGATAGCATTTAACATCTGAAGTATTTTTATTTCCTTCTTTTTGCCCTTCCTCCTCAGTCATTCATATTAAAGGCTCTCCTCCGCATCCATGTGCACGCAGGATGTATGTGCTTCATGCTGTTTTCTCCCTTGCTTTGAGAAAATGCTCCTTGGTAACTCACCATGCATCCCTGGCCTCTTACCCCATCAGTTTTTCTTTTCCTTTATTCCTTTTGGATGCCTGACTTTTATCACCATGAGGAGTGGAAAGTGAAAATGAAGGCACACCAAGCTAGCCAAAGAGAGCACGGACATATTGTCACCAGACCCCATCATTTCAGACCCAGTGATCTCTTTGAAATCAGTGGGTGTTTCTGAGCATGGATCAGTTGCAAGACTCAGTCTGTGATGAACTCTGGGCTGGTGAGGTGAAAATGGGGAGGGTTTAAAAGAAAATACAGATGTGGCAAAATCCACAAATGTTTATGGACTCTCACTGTGGTGGGCCAAATCCCACAGCCCTCATTCATGATAATGTGCACGTAGTTTTAATAAGGAGTTCCCTAAATGTTTCTGGATAAGTAAAGCATGAGGACCATAGGATTCAGAGAGACAGCAATGACTGTCAGGAGTAAAGCCTTTAGGAAATGGCTCCTCATTTCTCCCCTGAAGCTGGCAAAACTTTGTTGTGCTAGCTTTTTTCTTCCACAAGCACTGGTACCACTTGGCTATACAGTATGCTGTATCTCATGAGAATGTTCCTGTACATCTCTCATTGATATAAAAAAGTGAGATATAAAGTTTTGCAAGAAATTCAAATTTGTATCTTGGAAACCCTGGGTCTTGAAAGATAAAATATTCTCAGGAGGAGGCTAAGAGCACTTTGCAGGGTGCTGTGCAGGTCCTGGGTGAAGCTCAGGGCACACAGAGAAGGCTCCCTTGCTGCCTGGAAGATGCTCAGCCTGCACCCATCTGCTTGCACTGGTGCACAGGCTCTGGGTTTGTAGCAATGTGCTGTGTGGTGAGGTGCCATCAGTAAATCCAGGATCTGGTTACATTTTCTATCCAAGCTGCTGCATGCAGTATGACAGAGGATGCTGTTTTAATGAAATTCTGCTTCATCAGCCTCGGCAGACTGTCCAACCGGCCTGAGATGGATGTCGAGACAGGCTCTTGCAAATGGTGAACGTTGGATCAGAAAGCTTCCCTGACTTCTTTCCTCCCAGAAACCAGTAAACCAAACTGAAACTGGTCTCATGTTTTGCTGTCTTCTCGTCTTCACTGGTGTAGTATGCATGCACGTGCCTTTGGGAGGCGCACAGTTGTAACGCTGCACTGGATACCCCAGTTCCCTCTTGCTTCTGATGCCAGCAGCTAGTGGGAATGGAAGCAAGTACACCTAAAAATAGAAAAGGAAGGAAGGAATAACTTATTAAAGAATGTGGTGAAGGTGAGGCTTTTGTACTTTGTGTACTTGGAGTTCTCACTTTGGAGTTGTGTGCTGTGAGTCTTTGGCATTGCCTGTTTGCTGGGAGAGCGATGCCAGCTCTGTAGAGAGGGAGACCTGTTATCATGGCTTCCTGTAATTACTGCCGCAGTCTGCGACACTTACAGAATAGGTTTTATCAAAGTGCATGCTACATGTTTATGACAGTAGTTGGTCAAGGTCTGCTTGAAAGAAACATTTTCTTCCCTTGAAAAAGGAGATTATGTCTACTTAACCCTTTCTTAGCTCCCACAGTATTCACTGTATGTGAGCCTAGGCAAGGATTGTGGGCTCTTTCTGTCACCCAAAATGTTTTGTGAAAATGATAGAAAAGTGAGTTCTTTGTGTTGATTAATAATCTAGTGACAATCCCTGCATTGTGCCTTTTTTTTTAAATATAGACATTTACAACAGTCACTTGCTCCAGCTTTAGAGATCAGCTTGTCTCTCTGACTTGATTAGCCTTTTATTCTGTCAGCCCTGTTCTTGCTTCTGAGGAATTGGTTACTTCTTTGAACAAAAGCCATCAGCAGTTCCCGCCTCCCCTCATCCTTCATAATTTCTTACCTTTCCTGTTTCTCAGCATTTATTTAATTCAGGACCTGGAGATTTTCCATGCAGTTCTCAAGCAGACTGTGACTCTGATGGCTTGAAGTTGCAGGTACTCCAAAATCTTTACTGGGCACTCACAAACTGGGCCCTTAAGAGTCCCTCACAGCAGTTTGTGCTGGAGAATCCAAATGTCTGGCTGCTGGTGGGATTTGGGGTACACATGTGTGACAACTGTATTTGGAAATCTCCGACCTAGATAAGAGTGATTGTCTGGGATGCTGAGCAGTGTTCAGTCATGCACAGAGGAAGTCGTGCTGCCTCATCCAGAGTTGTGAGTGATCTTTAGATGCTGCTGATAGTTTCAATCACTGCAAATGGTGCTGCAAGGTCTGCTTGGATGTCCACTGTGCTGCTCAGCCAGTGCTGATCGTGGTCCTCTCTGTCTTTGTTCAATTCTTCGTGTTCAAGGCACCCCAGGAAATGAGGAATTTTCAAGTAAAGGTCCATGTTTTTTCATGTGATTTAAAAAAAATCTCTACCACTGGTTCGATCTCTCAGTCTATTTATTTATTTATATATTTTGCCCCAGAAGCTTTTGTCAGTTGAATTGGGTTCTCCCGATCAAATGGTTTTAGTGCCTATTTAATTAGAAGTTGGAATACAGTAATGAAATTCACAGGGTTATGTGGCTTGGATCTAAAATATAGATGGGCAAAGCATTCCTTTTGCTTTACCCCTTGCCAGATTAGGGTACTTTTTTTGAGGCTGCTTTTTATTTCATTTCAATGAATTGCAACTGCTCAGAGTAACGGTAAAACACACACAGGTTTTTTTTTTTGCATAACAGAGACACGCAAATGATTGTTGAGAGACATAATTATGTAAAGAAAAGTATATGTCTGTGTGCATGCACACATACACTGCAATGCTTTTTGTGAGGCTATTTTTTCACAATATGTCTTCATAAGGCTCTTTTTATGATGCTGATTTATTAATATTGTACATTAAGTCTTAAATTGTCAAAGCTGCCTAAGAGATTTGGATGCCCATTTCCCATTAAAGTTAACGAGAAATGAGCATTGAAAATCTCAGCACAGAAGTGCATGGCACTTTACAGTGTGTTCTCCAAAGAAAAAAGTCCCTGCCTTGAAGATACTGTGGTGCCAAAGCCCCAGGAAGATGATCGTAATCAGCATAAGACAAAGGGGATTGTAATGGCACAGAGAATAATTAATCCCCTGTGCTTGCATTCAGATATATACCTGGTCCAAATTCTTTGGACCTGGGCCTATGAGTGAGGGTTTTATATACCCCTGTAAAGTTAATTAAATCTGTCCAATACACATATATTCTTCTAAGCAGTGAAACTGCTTCCTTCCCACATGTAGGCTGATGGAAGGAGGTGGAAAGCAATTATGATACTTAGTTGCATGTATAAAAACAGCAAGTGGGCATGGACAGCAGTGATTAACGGACAGGGCTGTGAAATTTAAGGTCTAAAATAGAGGAAGGCATGGGGCCATATCTTGGAAGAGAGGAACAAGCTCCTGCTAATTCAGGGAATCAGCTGTGTTAGTCATTAGGACATTCTGAAAATCACAGTCATCTTGTAAAGTTAATATCAATTTACTTGGCTACTGAAATTCTACTTACTGCTTCATTTAACTAGTCTGGTGTTTTCTTGGCAGAGGTTAAGGTGACAGTAAAGATAAAAGCAGTCCCTGTAACTAAATCGTAGGTTTTAAAAGAATACTTTTTCCTCCATCTATTATATCACCGTATTCATTTTATGTTGGTTTTATAACTGGAGTCAGCCAATGAGAAGAGCTAGATTAGACCACCCTGCTGTAAAAAGCTTGATGCAATTAATACAGTCTGTCTAGAAAGAAGTATTATTTCAAAAACTTTTATGTTAATGATATGGTATGCACTCGGCACGTTTCTTACTTGAACAAGAAGCAAGCTTTTGTTCACTCCAGCCTGGGTTTTATTAACACAGGAGGATCAATGGAAAACAAAACAGTAATCAGAGCAGAGAATACAAACTCATCCAGCAAAAACCTTCTAACTCATCATGTCCCAGGACAAGGGCTGATACTCTACTCTTCATTTTTTGCTGAGTGGAGTTTCAGAAAAAAAAAAAAAGAAAAAAGAAAAAAAAATGGTTCAAAAAATTGATTTCTCTTCAGCACTGGTGCTTTTTTGAGAGGAGAAAGAGGAATTTGGTGTAAGTGTCAGAGGACAGACAAAGATCTATAGCTTCCCTGGGAGCCTTTGTAAATGTATCTTTTCATTTTGCTGCATAAATAAGAGGCTTGCATAAAATACTGGCTAACATTCAGGAGAGATGTCCCTATGAGTCATGTGTATTTATTTATTTTAGTGAAATATTTAATGCATGCTATAGTAGAATTGACTTTGTGGACAGTACTTACAGAGTGCAGGGATGTGTGAGAGATGTACACACTAAAAAGAGTAATGCATCAGTCTGAGTGCACGCATCCATCTTTACACCTATCTCTCAATCTCTGTGTTCATTCACCTATCCAAGTATTAAAATCACATGTGACCAGCTGCCTAGGCAGCTCCCTGTCTCACTAGAT